TTTGTCTGCCCCCGCTGGTGAGATTTGCACTTTTATTTGTCCCTGGTGACCCTTGCCAGAAGGAAGGTACAAACTTTGTTTGTACTGGTGACTGTTACTGATACAGTGAGGAGAACTCCAAAAATTTCACTGGAGTAAGAAGTGAGCAGAAATCTTATAATGGGGACAAATATTTCAGTGACAACTGTCTAAGATGAGAACTCCCCTTATTTTTTTCCCCCTCATTTCTTGTTGCATCTCCTGGACAGGAAATTACAGCAATTCTCCCTAGCAAAAAAAGTATTCTGATGGGTTTTAACCCTTCCCTACTCTGCCTAAACCTAAAAAGCAAAGATTTGGCTCCTACATACTGTATACACTGCCTGGCCAAAAATAAAGGTCACCACCTGGAGTTTGCTTATGACCTGGGGTTGCTTCAGTTGGTCAGGTTTCGGTTCATAAACATTATATGCCCAGAAAAGGGGTCAGCTACCTACCTGAATATATACTGAATGACCAGATTTTTCCATCAATGGATTTTTTTCTTCCCTGATGGAACAGGCATATTCTGAGATGACAATGCCAGGCTTTATTGGGCTTAAATTGTAAAAGAGTGGTACAGGGAGTATGAGACATAATTTACACACATGGATTGGCCACCACAGAGTCCAGACCTTTACCCCATTGAGAACCTATGGGATGTTCTGAAGAAGACTTTACACAGTGGTCTGATTCTCCCATCATCACTACAAGACCTTGGGGGCAAACGGATGAAATGATTGTTGACATTGCAGAAGCTTATGGAATTGCTGTCCTGTCTAATGCGTGCCGTAATGAAAGCTAAAGGCCGTCTAATGAAATATTAGAGACTTTGTTCTTTGGTCAGGCAGTGTAATGTAAAAGACTTTGATTTATATCATTGTTTTTCCTTTGGCATGTGTAAGAGTATATTTGTATGTTTAATATTACAGATCAGCAATCTGTGAATGCGTCATTGGAAACCTTATTGGCACTTCTGCAGACGGAAGGAGCCAAGATAGAGGAGGAGACCGAGGTAATGCTACGCTGCTGTGGTGTGCTATGTACATGTATTTAAAGGAGGGTTGTGGTGTTGGGATTGGATTCTTCCGAGTCATTCCTGTTGTCTATAATCATGGTAAGCAGATCCAGCGCTGGTTCGGTCATTTCAGCCAGAGCGCATTCATTCCAGAATTAACATTCTATAATATGTATTAGAATTGGAAGTGATTTGTTTTTTATATTTTGTGCACTTAGAGACACATCCAAGCAGCAGCAGCACAGGAGCTAGTTCTAGCATCTGGCATCTAGAACCAGCTCCTGTGCTAAGGTGCCCATACACCTGACTATTATCGTATGATAATTGTGGGTGATCCCGCGATCATACGATAATCGGCAGGTGCATGGGCAGCGTGCGACTGCATTTACTGTACGGTCGCACGACTTTCCTCTTACGAGCACGCTAGAAAATCGTACGTTTTTCGGCGGGTTGGTAGCGCGATCGCAAGACGAAGGCCGCATGGGACGGTGTGCACAAGCGCACACTGCCCACCCAGCATTGCAATCATCGGCAAGCCCTCGCCTCAGCGGGGAGGACTTGCGATGATCACAAGTACGATCTGCATGTCCAAGATGGGCAGATCGTACGAGATTTTAATGACCTTACAACCATCGCACAATGAAAGTCGTGCGATGGTTGTAAGGTGTATGGGCAGCTTAAGACTATTCCATAGTTTACAGCTGGTACTGTAAAGAACCCTTGTAGGTGGAGATTAAACTTATCATCCTAAGGCAAAGCATGACCCTCTTTTGTAATGTTTATAAAATGGAGGACTTTCCACTGAGTTTAAATACATGAATTGTCCATATAGTAAACACGATAAATGTATCATTCTGTTATTGGGAGGATACATCCAGTTCAGTTCTCCACCCCCCATTATTTGTCCATTTTTGCACTCCTTTCAGTGTAAAAACATCCTTTTTTTTGTGAACTGGTGCCCAAAACTGAGGTGCATACTCCAGATGAGATCTCACTAATGCTGTGGGACGGGGCCCTTTTGTTGCCTGAAGAAACCCAATAGGATGAAATGCTGTCGTTTTTGACCCACCTAAAAATAGGTCCCTTTCTCTTGTGTAGGAAATCATTTGTTTTTGAGCTCTAACGTTCACTTCATTGTAGGGCTGCAACGAACGATTATTTTCACAATCCATTATCCGTTTTTTTTTGTTTTTTTTTCTATTATTCAGATAAAAAATAAATATCATCCTTAAAGGAGAACACTGGGGTCAGGGCTTTTCCCCATAGTTCTCCTTAGGGTAACGGGAGGACACAAACTAGCGTCCTCCCGCCACCCTAGGCTCAGTATAACGCGAGCTGTATCTCACGGTATACTGAGACGCCGCAGCTCCAGCGGATCCCGACAATTCTGTCTGGATCCGCCCGGCTGCGTGAGTGACAGCTGGCTCTGCCTATCTAGAGGCAAAACCAGCTGTACCTGCCCCCTCCCTTGGCCGTTCCGTCAGTCAGCGCTGGCAGATCGGAGAGGGGAATCCAGCCCTCCCCTGTCACGGCAGAGAGCTGTGACAGGATCGAGAAGTGAGCGAACGCCGGTATGTGTTCGCTCACCTCCCGATCTACTGAGCCGACCTGTGACAGTCTCATTGTCACAGGTCGGCTAGAACTATGAGGCGAGTGAAAAGCACTCACCTCATAGTTCTCCTTTAATTTAAAATAAACAAATGCAGTGTTTCAAACAAAGAATAACTTTACAAAGAATAAAGCTGCATGCACAATTCTTTTTGGCAATCACACTGCACTGGAACGCATGGTATTGCAGTACTGTGGGTGCAAGGTGTGTTTGGGGGTACTATTGAAATGAATGGTACTGCAACGCACCTCCCGCAGCAGAATTTGGCAGAGCGAAACTGAAACTTTTTTAGTAATTGTTTTAAGCGTGGAGGAGAGAGCTCAGCGATCCAACCAACTAATCGATAATGAGAATAGTTCTCATTATCGATTTTATTATCGATTAGTTGGTTGCAGCTCTACTTAATTGGCATCCCCGGGTGTGTGAATGGAAGTGGGGGGAGCACAGGTTCACTTTAATAAAGTGGTCATATGTTATGAACAAATACAGAACGTTAACCAACTAGTGCTTACATTTCTTTGTTTTTTTTCCTTGCACAGAACATGGCGGAAAGTTTTCTTGATGGGGGCGTACAGCTGGATTCTTTCACTGATGAATATTTATCGAAGCGCAAGTTGGCACATTTAAGACGTGTAAAAATAGAGAAACTGCAAGAAATGGTGCTAAAAGGACAGAGACTCCCCCAGGTTTCTATACTTTCACAGTCAAAGCCAGCTGAGGGTATCCAGGCACCTCCAGCGTCATACCCATCGGGTTTCAATGCACCGCCATCCGCCATGCCCAGAAGAGCTGTCCCACCTCCCCCATCTTCTCAAGCTGGAATGTACCCAACTCCTTTTGCAGTGGCTGCACAACAGCCTTCTCCTGGGCTCCCATATGCAGTGTCTCCAACTCCCCCCATCCCTCCGCGGGTTGGCTATCCACCTCTCTCTCAGATGCCTCAGCCTGGTTATCCTAACCCATTCGCACCTCAGTATCCTCCGGCCCTTCCTCAAAGACCACCTCAACGTCTCCCTCCCAACGCTGGGTTTATTTTATAGTAATCCGGTCTCATTGCGCCTCCTTCAAACATTGGTGCTCCCAGTTTCCTGGATATGTATGAAACATGCACATATTGGACCATGCAGCAATCCGCAGGACAACTTTTCAAAGACTTAGGCGCTCATGCTCATCCCCATTCAAGAGACTTTCTGGCTTCTGAATGAATACTTTGTGGGGTTTGGTTTCAAAGTCTGATTTTCTGGTTTAGGTTGTGAAGCAGACGTGTAGACAGAGCGGCACAATTGCTGCACCACTGTGTTGCTTTCTTATTTTTGTATCCATGCTGAAGTTATACATGTGAATGCTGCATTGGAATGAATAGTTCTGTTGTGCTGCAGCCATTGGTAATGTTAATCAGCTGGCAGTGCATGGGATTAGACGGCAACAAAACAATGCACTGGTCCATTGCCAAACTCCTCAGGTTTCCAGCGACCTCCTTATCACGAGGCTCGAGCAGAGTGCTGAACAATGAGGATTGCACTGCATATCTTACACATGATTCTCAGTGTCTCGTACCATACCCCCCCCCCCTAACATTAGGACATTAACAGGATCATTCAGGGATTAGAATGTTACTAAAATCTGTAATGTGCAAACTAAATGCGGATGGAGTGGATGCAATTTTCCTGTGTGACAACAATGCATTTTTTATAAACGTATGCACGTGGCTTTGATGTGCCTTAGACTAACTGCTTGCTCCTGGACTATGAAGGAAAGACTGCATTGTTTTGTCTTTTAATTGCCCTTGGCTTAGCTTTGATTGCTAGGAAGGGTTTTCTGTTGTAAATTAGCATCTTTTGCTATAATGCAACTTCCACAAGTGTAAAATTAGAAGTTCGTTTGGTAACTTTCAAAATCTTCCATTTTATTTATGCAACTGTCCTAAAGCTCGGCCTTTTCCTTAATCCTGGCCACGGTTAGTGTTGGCATTTTATAGATTTCTATTTCTTTCCAGTGGCAGCACACGAGAATAAAGTGCCACATCTAGATAGGTGGTTTTAAAGTAGGGTAAAGCCATATATTAACATACAGAGCAGAATTGGTTGTGGCAAAAGTGAGCTTTGCTATCGGATAACCTTTTGTTTTACATTGCACTACTGATGCAGCATAGTCTTCTGTAACCCTGTGCCCACCATAGACGCGCCATTAAACAGCTCAATTCTAGCTTTTTTCTTTTATTCCCGCTGGTATCATTGTGTTCCTTTTACCCGCATTGTAGGTTTAGATCACACCAAATCATGTTCATTTACAACAGGTTTTAAAATGTTGCACAATAGCATTCATGTTTGGAACAGTCCCTGGAAGAGACTGAATGTGAGCAGAATCAAACAAATGCTCATTGAGCTCACACCATATAGTGCAGGGGTAGCCGAACTTCAGCTCTTGTCGGACTACAAGTCCCATGAGACATTGCAAGACTCTGACCGCAGGTGTGACTCCCAGAGGCATGATGGGAGCCGGAGAGCTGAATTTTGGCTGCCCCTGCTATAGTGGGAGACTGCTGGAATAACGTAGTCATTCAGAGGCTTCCGGAACCCTTCTCATGGCTAGTCATGGCCTGGCAATTTCTCATTGAAATGTTCCGGCATTATGCGTGGCACATCGGTTCTACCATATATGCACTACCTACCTAAAAACCAAAAAAGGGTTGTGGTGTCCACTATAGAGGAGACTTCAAGAGCATGTTTTAGTACTGGAGACTCCGATTACTCCATGCAGACACTACTATAGGACATGTTTATAATGTAAAGATTCTGTAAAGGTTTACTTGTTGTCAGAACTAATACTACAGTTGTTAATTGACCTTGATATTTTCAATAAATGACACATTTTGGACTTCAGGTTCCTTCCTATGCACATCTTCTTCAGCTCGGAGGGATGGGACATTCGGGTTCCTTCCTATGCACATCATATACAGCTCGGAGGGATGGGAAATTCAGGTTCCTTCCTATGCACATCTTATACAGCTCGGAGGGATGGGAAATTCAGGTTCCTTCCTATGCACATCTTCAGCTCGGAGGGATGGGAAATTCAGGTTCCTTCCTATGCACATCTTATACAGCTCTGAGGGATGGGAAATTCAGGTTCCTTCCTATGCACATATTATACAGCTCGGAGGGATGGGAAATTCAGGTTCCTTCCTATGCACATCTTCTTCAGCTCGGAGGGATGGGAAATTCGGGTTCCTTCCTATGCACATCATATACAGCTCGGAGGGATGGGAAATTCAGGTTCCTTCCTATGCACATCTTATACAGCTCGGAGGGATGGGAAATTCAGCTTCCTTCCTATGCACATATTATACAGCTCGGAGGGATGGGAAATTCAGGTTCTTTCCTATGCACATCTTATACAGCTCGGAGGGATGGGAAATTACTTTGTGACTGCAGAGCTGCATAATGCTGGTCTGGAGATGGAGAAACAGATGTACTAATTGAGAGGTTGTAGGAACTGGGGAACATGAACTTCCTTTGTCCAGCTTCACAAACATGAGCTGCAATCATTTCCACGAAGATCAGATGATTATTTTTAGGATTGGTCCAGCTCTGCTGTTCATAACAAGGACTAAGAAATTATACCCTTGTAAAAAAAAAAAGAACCCCATTCTGCAATATATTTTCAATTATTATAATCCACACGGTACATTGAAAATGTGATAGTTGTTGGCTATTTTAACACAGGTTTTTAGTTTGGGCTGATTTTTTTTTTTCATTTATATTTTTTATTTATTTTTCACTTCTGCCACAAATGGTGTAATGTGCCAAAGCATTGCATCCTGGGGGGGTTACATCAGCAGTGCATTGCTGGGAAATCTCATCTGTAATCTCATGAGATCTGAAGGAAAGGCATTTCCCTCCCCTGAGATGATGTGCATGGTCACATGTGCCAGAAATCCAGGAAGTAAAGGGAGATCTAGTAACCTGCTCTTAGTTAAAATGGCCACTGTCAGAAGACTGGGAAGAAAAGAGAAATAAGGAATGCAAAGAATACGAAACCTGCAATAATCTAGAAGTATGTGATTGTAAATTGCCATTACTAAACATTTCTATTATTATTATACAGGATTTATATAGCGCCAACAGTTTGCGCATCGCTTTACAATATAGGGAAGACATTACAATCACAATACAATTCAAGACAATATGGTAAGGAGGGCCCTGCCCCTGAGGGCTTACAATCTAAAAGGGAAGGGCCAGTGATACATGAGGAGGTAGCTGTGTGGGGATGAATTTCTAAAGGTGTGTTTGTTATTTTGAAGATATGGGTAAAGTTCCCCTTTAAAACCTCCTATTTTTTTTCATGTATTTTTTTAAAATCTTTTGTCATTGGTCCCCACCAGGGATACAAACAATAAAAACTGGGCAGAGATGTTAAACTTTCTGTACTCTCTCTGGCTGTGCACAGTCATGCTGGTACAGAAACTCTCCATCCCCAAACTTGCCACAAGGTTGGACACGCACAGTCTTTTTCTTTCTATGCTGTGGCATTAACAGTACCGTTCACTGAAAACACCTGAGCTCAGTAATTTAGGGGTGTCCACATACTTTTGGCCATGTGTTGTCTAAATGCCATTCTGATATACATAGCTTTGACACACTCTGGTGATGGTAAAGCTTGCCAACTCTCATAGCTATTTCTATGTGTTACTAAGCATACCTGTACCACAGAACATTGTGTTCTGTGAGGAAAGCATCTAAAAAGGTTCTTGAATGAGTCAATACTCTTACCTGAAACCACTGCCTGGGGACGGGAGTTCCACAATTCTACCGCTCTTACAATAAAGAATCCCCTTCACAGTTTAAGACAAAACCTATTTTCTGGCAATTTCAGGTGCTGGCCTCTTGCCTGAACTAACCGTAAGCAGTTGTGACTGTTCTACCATCACCATTAAACAGTTAATATGTTGCTATCATGTCCCCTTTTTTCCAGAGGGAACAAATTGAATGCTTACAATCTTTCCACGTAGCTTTGTCCCTTTTAACCTGTTTTTTTTAGTTTTGTTGCCCTTTTCTGGACTGTTTGCAAGTCACGGACATCCTTTCTGTGACCACAATTGAACCCCAAACTCAAGACAGGTCCGAACCAGTATTTTGTAAAATGGCAGAATTATCGATTTTTGTTTTTTTGTCTTTCAGAACACATTTCCATTTTTTTTGTTTACTTTGACAGTCGTCTTATGTGCTGCAGCCTGGCATTGTATGCTCTTACTAAGTCTGCTGTCTATTAGGACCCCCAAATCTTCCATCTCCAATTCTCGCAGTGGCGCTCCCATTAGTAAGTAGCTTGCATACATATTTTTAACACCCAAAAATACATAACTTTACATTTTTCAATACTAAACCTCATCTGCCATGGATGTAGTTGCCCCCGTGTTTAATCCAAGTCCTCCTGTAGTATTGCTAGGTCTTGTTCCAAGTTTATTGCACTACACATTTATTAATGCTTGTACAGTACAATGGAACGTTTATGCAGTACTGTATCGAATGCTTTTGCAAAATCCAGGTACACTACATCCACTGACTTTCCTCCATCCGTGTTGCTACTCACCACCTCGGAATGCCAGTAGACTGTTTTTTTTATACATATTAGAAGTTTGTTGATCATGTAAGGACAAGGACTGAAACAGAGTACACTCGGGTATACACTAGGTTGCTTTGACAAGAACGGTCTTTCATTAAACCATGCTGGTTGTCACTTATGATCTCATCAACATTGGCAAATTCTTGAAAGTAGTCCTTTATTGCTTCCTCAAACAATTTGCATATTATGGATGTTACGCTGACTCGTCTGTAATTCCCAGGTACACAACTTTAATATTATCAGTTTGTATAACCCCAGTCATTGAGTCCTTAAATATTAGAAACAATGGTCTCACCATAACTTGGCTTAGCTCTTTAAATACCTGTGGGTGCAAGTTATGTGGTACTGGGGATTTATTCACATTTAGTTTTCTAGTCCGTGCTGTTCCCTGACCTCCATCAACTGATGCAGTACATTTCGCTCATTGTCACTCAGTCTTAATATTCTCATTAAACCCACATGTTTCACAAGTAAATACTGTTAAGAAGAAAGCGTTGTTTGTGATCAACCTTCCGTGTTCACCTCTTATGAGACCCACCTGTTTTGTTTTTTTTACTTTTTTATAGTATATAAATGACAAATTGAGGGTTTTATTATTTTTTTTGCTTTGGCAATATGTTTTTCAGATTCTATTTTAGCTGCTCTGATTGCGCTTTTACATCTCCTATTGCATTCCTTGTAGTTCTTGAATGCCAATGTTGTCCCTTCCAATATATACATATATATATATTTTTTTTTGAATGCCAGCTTCTACTGTGTAGTTTTCTCATCTGCTTCAGTCACGTTTTAATTTTTGTTGCCCCGCGGGTATGCACTGGCAAATGGCACTGTTTTCCTAATTTTTAATGTCCACAATGGAAATGATTAGATCTAATATAGCATTTATCCTAGTTGGGACTTCCAATATGATCCATGAAACTGTCTCACAATAAGTTCAGGAAATGGCAAGCCTTGGTTGTGTGCGATTCCCTTTGTCAAATCAATGTCTAGATAATTGAAGTCCCCCATTATAAGAACGTTACCTTTGCCATTTCAATCTGTGAGAGATGTATGTTAACCCTTGTGCGCTCAGTTATTTGCCATTCAGGTGCAGAGAGTGCCCCCTGTAGGTTAATAAATTCCTTGCTCCCTCTCTAACTACTCACCTTCTACCCTCCAGTACTACTGCACAGATCATCAGTGCTACCTCTGCTCCCTTGGGCTCCACAGAACCAGGGATTCTTGTTCCAGCCTAGACTCCCTTAGAATATGTGAGGCAATCAATTGGGTCTGGTATCCATTAGAGAGTAACCACCCCTTTCTCTCCCTATAGAGATTGGGGCTCGGACTCATCAGCACCCCAAATGTTCTTCAGGGTGTTGACTCCAGTATCTGCCCTAGTGTCTTCTCATGGCCTCCCTATGGGACACACAGATGACCTCCTGTGGAGAGACCAGTCCCTGCAGCCAACACCTCTCTAATTGACCTCATATC